TGGGTGTTGTTTAACCCATGTGGAACCTTTCAAGAGCTGTTGGAAGTAGGGCATGCAACCAGCAAAAGGGGGTCCCTGTTGGCACTGCCCATGAGGTGCACGTTGTCCCAGGCACCTGGGGGGAGCAGGAACATGAAGTACCAAGGTGCACAGAACATTCCCAGGAGCTAACCTAGGACATGGAATCATGGAATACCTTGGGTTGGAGACCTTTAAAAATCACCAAGTCCAGCACACCCTACCATGAGCAGGGACATCTTCCACTAGACCAGGCTGGTGAGATGAGCTGCTTTGAACCAGGCAGGGAAGAAAAAGGACATTAAAACAAGATGGGGGCTTGAAAGCAAAGCCTCAGCACAATGGGATCTCTGCAGTGCTGGCACAATTGGCAGCTGGCGCCAGTCTCTTGGTTAAATGCTTAGCAGTCTTGTTTCACAAACTCGATGGGTTCAGATTGAGGAGGTGCTTTGATACTCCAAAGAGAAGAGGCTGAAACAAGGACACAGAGCTCTGCCTGGCTGCCTGCACCTCTGGAGGAAGCTGGCAGGGCTGAGGGAGAGGGGAGGGACAATGTCCTTACATACACAGGCACTGCACATCATGGGACTCCTTTTGTCCTTGAACACACAGTTGGAATGAACTAGGGGACATTTTCCACCATCCTCCTCTTCATGTTTCTATAGAGGGATCCTGTTTTTCATCTTTCTAACTCTTCTATCCCCATTTGCAGTACTTGCTATAAGATCTCAGCTACCCTTTAATCTTGTCACACCTCAGCGAGTCAGAGAGCTGCCAGATCTGATTCCAGTGTTAGGCTGGAATGATTTGCTTTGAAACTGAAAACAAAATCACTGACCACTTGCAAAGGAAATAAAACAAGTCTTTGACAACTACATTTTTATTTTGAGCGGCTTGGATGGATTTCAGCACAGGGAAAGTCTCTGGGATACCCTATTACATTATGTGCCAAATTTGGACTTGGCCCAGTGAGGATTTTTGATGATTTTGTAACTTCTTCCCTGTATTTTTCAGGATCATGTACACATGGCCATTGTCCTGGGGATGGGACACGGTTCCCTCTGAATGCCCAATTAAGCCCCGATTAGCATTTTTTCTAGGAGCAGATGCAGCTTTTCCAGCCCAGCAAACAATGCCATCTGTTGTTCCCTGGCTGGAAGTTCCATCCCAAAGTGTGCTCTGCTTCTATATTTAATTGTGAAGTTTCCTGCTGCCAAAAAAAAGTGAGGTTGTTTAAATTTGGCATCAGGAGGAAAAGGCGGAGAGGGAGGGAGATTGGATTTATATTGTTACTGCAGGGAATGCTAAATTGGTTTAGTCTGGCTGGCAGCTCTGCATCTTGCCCTCCTGTGCAGGACTAGCCAAAGGGTGAAACCTTCCATCAAGACTCCCACAACCACTTTGCACCCTCTCCTTGAAGTCAGGGCTGCCTCTGCAGGGAGTCTTCAGCAGCTTTTCCTGCCTTTGATACCACCAGCTCCCTGGAGAGCTGAATTATGGGTGACAGCAAGGTCCTCAGGCACTGGCACTCAGCATTGTGCTGTGACCTTCTCTAGAGACTTTTGGCACTCACAAGAGAGGAAAGTGTTTGCAACCAACCTTGTCTCTGTTCCTGGCCCCAGGGAATTGCTGAATTTGCATGGCCTTGACCAACCTGCCATGACTGCCAATGAGGAAGCCAACTGGAGAACTGATTTTTGGGCATCTGTCAGCTGGCTTCTGGCTGGAGACCCACTAAACTAATTTCACACAGACCACTTAGCAGCCATTAGCTGGTTGTGGCATGACCTGTCATGGACTGGAAACAGTGACCTAGAGGAAAAACCACTAATTTTATTATTAAACCCAGTGGAGAGCAGGGTGTTGTAGGATGGGAATGTTCAGGGAAAAACAGAAATAGATGCAAGGAAGTCAGCGTGGTTTGTGGGCCAGATTTTATCCCTCCTACTTTGATGAACATCACCTACTTAGTCAGCTACATCAGGAGATCCAGCTCCATGATATAAATGGGTAAGGCCAGCTAGTGAATTCTGGCTAGGGTAAATCTTTTGACTCTCCATTTTTGGGAAAGTGAGGATTTAATGGGAACCAGGCAATTAGTGCTGATTTCTATAACAAACAGAACAGTTTTCTGTAGTCAAATCAAATGCTTAACTTTGCAAATGTTTACATTTTCCATCATAATGAATGTTATGCTAAACAAATATAGCCAAAGGGTAAATGCTATTATTTAAAACTTTGGGGTTGGGGTTTTTTTTTTCCCCTAAATTTAAAAAAGTTTAATTCTGATGGTTCATGATGAGGGAAGGGATCTCAGTCAGCAGTTTTACAACTTATTCTCAAAATGCCAACAAGTTGCAGAATCCTATCTCCCCAGCTGGCTGACATCAACTATGCATCACTTACATCAAACCATAAGCCAATGCAGAGAATGATTTGTTTAATAATGCAAGAGAGTTTCCCCTATACACTGAAATCATAACCACAGCACTAGTCCCTCAAAAACCCTCAGGGATGCCTAAGGCCAGTACCATATGTAAGGAGCTGGTATTAACATTCATCATAAATTAAGCTTCTTTCCCCTACATACGCCTCATTCTTAAATCCTCTTTAGGAAGAGACTTAAAAACATTTTTAAATGTCTGCCAGTTTTTTTTCCTTTTCTGCTAAGCATTCCTATTGTGCTGCCCCTGCCTTCTCAGCTGTCTCTGCATCTCCTTCACAGCAAGGAGCAGGTTGCCAGTCTGTGTGTCTGGTGTGCCCATCACTGCCACCCATATCTGGCCTTCTGCTGCTGCCTTGGAACAAAAGCAAATATCCTAATCCCATCAGGCTGAGCATCTTGACACCAGATGTGTGCATTGCTGCAGCTCAGGATGTTTCCTGCAGAGTTTCCTGGGACTGCCCTCTGTTTAGCTCTGCCCCAGACAGAGTAGTGAGAGCTCCAGCTCAGAAGCTGGTGGGTGGAGATCAGTGATAGACATCACGGTTTTGAAGTCTTTTCAGGCAGAGTTTTGCAGGGAGCTCTCCTGAGCTTTGTGTGCCCCCAGGACAGGCAGCTGCCAGAATTCTGCCTGCCAGGTTGCAGACGACAGTCTGGGTTCACACACAGCTTCCTCTGACAGTGTTTGCCTTTTGTAGTAACACTCTGAAAATGGCTTGGAATTAAGAAATGTGACCTTGATTTTCTCCCCAGCTCCTTCATACTTGGGAACAGCTGGGTGGAACGCAGCAGGAATAGGGAAAATCAATTGTGACTTTTATGCTTTTGTTGTTTTACAGATGTATTCAGGATGCTACCACACCCACCTATTGCACAAATCCCTGTTGTCTTCCTGAGCAGCTCATTAAAGTTATTAGCAGGCTCCCAGACTGTTTTCAGCCTCCTCAAAGAGTAGCTGGGCTTGTGGCTGGAAAGGCAGCAGCACCCTAAGAGTTAAACTGCAATGACCTGGAACAACACAGATCAAAAAAAAAAAAAAAACAGGAATTCGATACAGTTCAACATCTTCAGTGTACTTTGTTATTTACCATGCACAGCCTGTGCCAGCTGTAGCTGACCTTCTGTCTCAAGCTGTGAAGAAAGGACTGTATTTTGTACTTATGGGAACTTCTGTTTCAATATATCCCCATAGCAGCAACCTTCCACCTCCTCCCATGCCCACACCGTGCAAAATTGGTGATGCAGGCAGCACTTCAATGGAGTAACCACCGCTTGTCACCGGGACAAGCAGTGGCAAGTAACTTCAGTGGGCAAGCTGGGGAGATTTCCTTCACTGGGTTGGAAGGAGCAACCCTCAAACAGTACATCCCTAAGCATATGGGAGTTTCAGCACATTTTGGATATTCCCATCCAGCCATTAGCTGGGGAGATACACTTAACAGAGCTGTTAGTTTTTCACTTGTCTCTTATTACTGAACATTTGTGACTGTGTATAGGGAGTAGGGCCCTGGAGAAATGGGGTCGTGGGAGAAGATACTGAACAGCTTTTTCCTGCCTCCTCTGTGTATTTAAAATTTGTGAAACCAAAGAAAGCTTCCACTTTTTTTTTTTTTTTTTTTTTTTCCTCTGGTAGATGAAGCGTTCCACAAACCCCAGGGAAGGCACAGCCACTCACAGTGAAATTATTCCACAGGGCAGGTCCGCAGTTACCTGCTGTGCCTCACTCCAGAGCAGGGGTTGGAAAACACGGGTGGGATCAGAGGCACTGCTGCTTCCAGCTGCTCTTGTGTTACGCGAAAATGTTATTGCTTTGAAAAATATTGTTTCTAAATGAGCGGGGTTTTTTTCCAGCTTCAGCCCACACTGCCACGTCCCCCCACTCCTTCCAGATGACGGCACCGAGCCGCGGGTGGTCCCCGCGCGGGGCACGGCCCCGGCCGGTCTCTGTCCGACCCCGGGCTCCCCGCAGGCAGCGGGTGGGCCTGCTGACCTTCACATCCCCCACGCACCGAAATTCTGCTGAGCCCGGCCATTTCCACATCTGCCTGAATTTCAGCCGGGTTTTGCTGACTTTCCCTGTGCCGCCACCGGCGCGGGCGTGCCGTGGGCGAGCGAGCGAGCGAGTGAGTGACACGCAGGGACATCGCTCCGCGGGGCGCCCATCCTGCGGGACACGCGGGGGGCCCGGCGGCGCGCTGGCTGCGGGGGCAAGAGCCGGGGCACAGGGGGACGGGTTCCTGCCAGGGCTGCCTCCACAGGGGAGCGAAGCGCAGCGCGGGCCGTTCCCCCGGGGAGCCCCGCAGCAACCGGCGCACGGCCCGCACCGAGCGGCCGCAGCTCGCCAGGGCCGGCCCGGCAGAAGGCGGCCCTCACAGCCGGGACCGACGGCTCGGCTCACCCCACCCACAAACCGCCCTCCCGCCCTCCTATTGGTCGCTTCCCTCACAGGGGGCGTGGCGGAATTACACGTCACGGAATGAGCGCTCGCTGATTGGTGAAAGTGGCGGCGGGCGGCCCCGCCCCCGCGGTCCCACGCGCGGCCGGGCCCGCCCGGCGGGTACATTGTGCGCGGGGCCGCGCCGGGCCCGCTCCGCGCTCGCTCCGCGCTCCAGCGCCGATCTCTGCGTCCCTGCCACCCCGCGCTGGGGGCTTCGCTGCTCACGGGGATTTCGGCTCGGCCAAGCGACGGTGAGTGTTTTCCCCCCAGATCTGGGCAGATCCCCTCCGGGCACTGGGCTTGCTGGGGTTCTGAGCCGCGGGGGCGGGGATGTGCCGGCCCCCGACGGGAGGGACCCTGCGTGCTGCCCCCGGGACCGGCCCGGGGCTCGCTGGGGCTTTGGAGCATTGTGTTCCATAGGCAGGAAGCGGCAGGAAAAGGTATAGGGTGAGGAAGGTCTTTTCACTTCTAAAGCAAAAAAAAAAAAAAAAAAAAAAAAAAAATCAATAAATATGAAACCAGCTATTAATTTCATGAATTAGAAAGTCAGGTAACATTGCTTTTTGCTTTGCTTTTTTTCCTTCTCCTCTTTCGTCTCTATATATGTATATCTCAAAACTGTGCTCCAAGGGAGACAACTTCCATGGCCTCTGATGAAATCAGTATTAAATCAGTTTGAACAAGCCTGTCTAGAGAAGTGAGCGGGTTTGTGTGAGTGACTGAGCTGAGCTGACAGAGGAGAAAAATAGTTCTTCCTCCTCTTCCTGTCCTCACAGGCCCCTTTGCATTTAAAAAAGTTAAAAGCCTGCTTGGTAGTTGGGTTTCCTAAATTTGTTTTGTCTTTATTTTCTTTATCTCTCCACTTGTGATTGTTGGGGTAGGGGGCTTAGACCAGCCAGACCAGTGCTTGGAAAATCTGCCCTCAGCTTTGCATAGGCAGACAGCTGAATGTCTCATACTATTCCAGTGGAGAGTCCAAGTGTCATGACTGCTCTGTTTTCCTTTCCTGGCAATCTCTGCCTGTGCTCTCTTGTGATCTGCTGGAGTGATTTCCTCAGCCAGGGTGCTGTGGGATTTTGTAGCCTTCCTCCAAAAGTACCTCTTCCTCTCCAGGACAGATCCAGCACCACAAGAAAAAAACAAGCAGCTCTGCAACCTTTATACTTTGACAATTTCCCATGTTTTTCCTTCTTCCTTCCTGCATCTTGTGACACTTGTTTTTATTGAAGTTACCTTAGGAGCAACCCGAGATGTGTAACACAGCCCATGTGTTCTGGTGGTGGCCAGCTGCTGCTGTTGGCTCAGCTGCCCTGGTGACAGTCTCCATCCAGAGTTCTGAGCTCTCTGCTTTCTCATCTCTGCTCCTGAGTTCTCCTCTGTGTTCTGCTCTCTGTCCATCTCTCAAACAGTCTGGCTCCTTAATGCTATAGGATCCTTTCTGGGGCCTCTCTGTTTTCCTGTCTTGTTTTCTGCTGCGAATCAAATCTTATCTGAAAACATATTTTGTCTCTTTTGTGTCTTTAACCCCAGCCATCTGCTCTGGCTTATCTTTGTGATAAGCCCAAGTAAAGCACTTGGGGAGGAGGCTTAGGTGGAAGTCTGCTCTGCAGCAGGAAGGTGTGGGGTGGCACAAGATTCTCAAAAGCAGAGTGAAAATTGCTGCAGAATTGCACCATAATGTGGAGATGGGAGACTGTAAGCAGCTTCAGCACTGAAGAACTTAAATTTCCCATTCCTTTCTTGTTCATTTTCTCAAGTATTTCAGGATTGTTATCTGAAGTCCTCCTGCCTCAGCATGTGTGCAGAGTGTGGTATCCTCTTGTGCTGTGTTTGGGGCAGGCTCAAGTAACTCAAGCAGGGAGGTTGGTGTCTCAGATGTTCTTTTGAGTTCAGGCCAGTTGAAGATGGTTTGACTGAAGGAACAAGGCAAAATAAATTTGTGAAGGCAACAGCTTGGGGACAGATGACAAGATATTGCATAGCATGTATTCCAAGTGTGTGAAAATGAGCATGAGTCTGATCCATAAGGTGGTTCTTCTGGCTCTGGAGGGAGTGCTGGACTTGGTCTGGTATGGAGATAAGGTGTGTGTGTGCACGCATATCTGTGTGTACATATGCACATGTGAATTATGATAGCATTTTTGTTCCTATGGCAGTGACCAATCGTTTTCAAAGTCTGTAGGAGTTCAGGTCCTTCTTAGCAGACAGGGGAAGTTTTAGGCAATGTTTAGGAGGTGGAGGAGTGAAACAGGAAGGGCAGGATGTGGCCATCCGTGGAGGTGGGAGAGGACAGGCAGGGTTGCGAGGTGCGGATGGAGATGGCAGCATTACAAAAGAGCATTGAGCAGTGCCTTGGCTTGGCCCTGAGCAGGTGGGGCAGGACAGGCAGAGCTGGCCCAGGGTGGCCGTGGCAGCCACGCTGTGCTCAGGGACTGTGGAAGGGGCAGCTTTGGAGCCCTGTCAGCACTAGACAGGAGGGCTGGATTTACACCCCTCTTCCACCTGCTGTAGTTGAATTGCAGTGAGTGGAGCTGGCATTGCTGAAAGCAGTGGTTGCAGGGATGCTGGCTGGGAAGCATTTAGCTGTAACAAGCCACCCCAAGCCCCCTGGCCTGACCTTTAACCACCATCACATCGCTCTGTCTTGGCTTATCAGCTTTATATCCCTGCAGTGACTATTAGTATCACTCCAGCCAGAACAGACAGCTCTGTCTTTCCCCCATTACTTGAGCCTGGGAATGCTGCATGTCCCATAACCACTGTCTACTTGCTGACCATTAGGCTTTGCAAAGACTACCAGTTTTATATGATAGCCTGTCACATTGTGGTGAGGCAAATTTATTACTGTACCACACTGGCAATCACTCTGGTCTGCTTGCAGTGTGTGCAGGATGCCTGGGGCAGCCTGGGCTGCTGCAGGGATGCCACAGTGGCGCAGAACTTGCAAGCTGAATGCATGGTTTGATGCTGTGTGAGTACCAAAATGGAAAAATCAGAGGTTTTTTGTTCCTTCTGTCCAGAGCCAGAGGGCAATAAGCAATGCCCTGTCTTGCAGCCCGAGATCCTTCAATATCTGCCGATGCCTTGCATTCCAGTTGGGAATGGAAGTCCCCCGTACCCAGCAGCAGGAGGGGCTAATCCATTCAGGAGGCGTGAGGGCCTCCCATCTCCATGGCTCTGAACTCCAGCCAGAATTGCAAATGAGCAAACCAAACCTGGCAGTTGTACCATGATCTCCTGCCTGGCAGGGGAGTGGGGAAGGCAAAACAAAACTCCAGCTTAACTGGCCAGGCCCAAAATTGAAATCCTGCCCTGACAGCAGGCAGGCAGACAGACCTGTTTGGTGTGAGCATCCGTGACAGGGCTTTTGGTCAGCCAGACCACTGGAGCACTCAGCTCTGCCAGCCTCAGAGCTGGGAGAGTGGGAGGATCTGAATAAGATCTCTGGAGTCAGCAGCTGCTGTGGTTATTCTGGCATTAATTTGATGTATACCACATCTCATCTCCTAAACTCTCCCTGGGAAGTGGCATGTGGTTCCTCTGTGTTTGAAGTACCAAAGGCCTTTTGCCTTTGCAGCACATTAGCAAGTTTGGCTTGCTTGAAAAGGACTTTATCCTGCCCAGATGGGGCTGGGGTAGGTACTGCAATTAAGTAGACTGTTTCCATTCTGGAACCTTTTTGGTATAATTTGGAAGAGGGGATTGTGAACTCGCTTGCCTCCTCTGCAGCCCCCCATTCACCTTGCAAAGCGCCTGTGATTGATCTGGCAGAATGGGGTGTATTCACAAGCAGAGCTGGAGGGCAGCAGGAAGGACAAAACCCCACCACAGGCTCTGAAATGAATCACAGGCTCTGAAAAGATCCGCTGGGGTTAAGGCGTAGCAATGAAAAGCTATTGTCTGGAGCCTGGACTGTGGCTAAAAGCATTATTTATCCCAATTTGGGTAGTGGTTGTAGGAGGGCGTGGTATTCCCAGGAGCAGCAAAGCCAGTGTGCTTAGTGGTGAACATGAGCTTTATTTGATTGTGTCACAGGTCGCTCAAGAAGCTTTTTGGATATCTCAGCTGCAGAGTAGCAAGTCCAGTACCTGATTTGCAAATAGAACTGCATGAATTGCATGCAAAGAGGATTTCCTACAGGTATTTTTATTGGGGTTGGAGCACAGTTTCCTTTGACTCAAATGAGTGCATGTCATAGATTCGAGGCACTACAGCTCCTTTTACCAGTGCTTTTGTGAGGCAAAACAAGAATCTCACTAATTGGTTCAGCTTGGCAATAATGTTCTGATTTTCTCTCAACTAAGTGGCATTTAGTAAATTCTTGTGGTGGCTGTAGGCTCAGAGTGGGGCATGGGTTTAAAGGGAGGAATGGTGGGTACTGCTGAGGATGGGATATGAGAATATGAGTGGGATATGAAACTCAGACTGAGTTTCTGAGACTGAATTTCAGAATGTTCAGATATGTACCCGGATCTTCTCCAGACAATCTGATTCCTGGAGCCTACAGAATTGGGCTTGGAAAACCTCCCAGTTTCTGTCTGAGCCAACAGAAGGAGCCTTTCACATGGTCTCTCTGTTTTCTGTCTAGGATGTACAGGCTAGACTAGGAAGTGAGAAAATGAGAAGAAATGATAAGGATGCTTCCCATTCTCAAAGGTTGGGGCAGGATCAAAAATTCTGCACTGGGGGGATGGAGTCAGCTGCCTTTCCTTTGTTTGCCTATTTGCAAATCTGGTGAAACATCAAGAGTTTGTCAGGAAGGGTAAATCCAGAGTGATACCCTCTGATTCACAGCAGTTACGTTGTCTGAATTCCAGCCTGCAAAATCCCAGTTGCATCTTTGCTGTGTTAGTCATCCTGAAGAGAACAGGAACAAATTTGGCTGACACAGGCAAACCACTAAATTCACTGGAATGGCTGGAGATGAACCCAACCTGTAAGGGAGCAAAGTCTGCATGCAGGCACACTGTGGACAGAGCAGAGGGCATGCCTGGGAGATGATGTAGTGAAGGTCCCGTGCTGCCCGCCTGGCAGCAGCCCAAGCTCCACACTCAGCAAGTGTGGTGCTGCACTAAATGCCAGGTGCAATTTTAATTCCTTTCATCTCAAGCACTCTTGACAGAAGAGCATTATTAGTGTTGAGCATTTCAAGCAGCTCCAAGCTGTGTGCCTGATAGTCTGTTGTGTTATGCAAGGACAGGAAAATCATCAGAAAACATCTTCACATTTGTTCCTTCCCCTTTCTTGTTTTTTGTGTCTCTCCCCCACCATCCTTTCCTGTTTTCTTTTGGTTTTTTCTGCTTTTGAAGCTCAAGCTGCCTCTGAGTACGTGAATGCCTGCATGTAACAGATCCCCTTGCTCAAACCTTTTGATGGTCTCCAGTGCTGGGAAATTGCATCTGAAACACAGCTGTATCTGGCTCTGTGTTTGACAGCGTGTTGCCTCACTGCTCTTTCTCCTAAGCAGTTTTGCAAGGAGCTCTTCCCTGTGAAGACAACACAGTAGGTGACTTTTCTATTTCTACTTTGCTACTCTCTGCAGTAAAAAGGGAGAAATTGGTTCTATAGCAGTAATTTTGGCCTGGGATAATGCTGCTGGTCTAAGCACCAGGTGGTGGAATCCATGAGAGCACTGGAAAGGTACAGATATTTGGGATGAGGGAGCAGGCACATTACTAATTAAAAGAGAATTGATGCCACCGCTTTCAGAGAGAAGTTAAACTTTGACTGAGTTTAAGACAGTGTTTCACCCGACAGGGTTGATATTGTGAGATGGAGAGCAAATAAAGATGAATCTTATGCCGGCTGTCTCTGGCCATTCCAGGTGGGTCTGCTCTGATTTGGAAGGAGTGTCTGTATGTTGTAGTACAGCCCATGCATACAGGGCCCATATGGCTTCTTGGGAATTAAACTCTGCTGTAGTTTGAGCAGCTTCATCCAGGTCTTCTGAGCTGAGCCAGCAAGGAACCTTCCTCCTTATTTATTTACTTATTTACAGCTTTAAATAGTTCATGGTTGAGTGGAGCAAAAAGAAATGTGTTCTGCTTGCTGCTTCTCTCATGGGCAAAACAGAAAGTGCCAGTTTTGGATCATGGGATTTGGGGCCTTTGTTGGTGTTTAGCCAGCCTTATGATCTTGGGAGAGCATTCATAAATCCTGTGGTTTTGCTCTTCTAAGCAGAATTTATTCTTGATTCCCTGAAGTCCCACTGGGGAGCATATTAATCACTCTCAAATCTTGTCCTCTTGAAAGCAAGCAGGATCTCAGCTGGTGATTCCCTGCAGGTAGTGAATGAAATTGGAGATTTGTGGAGAGCTCCTTGGTTTGAGATTGAGGGGGAACCCCAAGCCTGGCTAATTATAGTTCATGTATCAATAGCCTTCCTGAGCTGTCCTCTCACATGCAGTTCTTTTGTGACTGGGGACAGGGCCTGATACAGCTTCAAAGTATCTGTCTAAGAGGCACTTGGATTTTTGAAGAGGTGGTAGAGTGTCTCCTGAGGTTCTCCTAAAGGACCATTCCGCAGGGCTCTGGAAGGGTGACCCATCATCCTGGGAGGGAAAGTCCTCTCTGGAGTGTGATTTGTAGGAAGCAAAAGGCACCCGGACAGGAGAGCTGTGGTTCTTCATGTGGGGAGTTTGGCCAGCTCTCTGCTTTTGTTTTTCCCCTTGTTCTCTTTGCAAGCTTTGTCCTGTCCAGAGAGACTGCTGGGGCGTTTTCTTCATGAGCTGAGATTTGAGGGGTCTTTTTTTCTTGAGCCAACTCCTTCCCTCTTTCAGGATTGCTGTCTGCCCTGTCTGGATGAGGGGAAGGATTTTCAAAGCAACCTTATCTTGCTCTGCTGGAAAAAACCTGTCTTTCCCATCCTGGCTGCACAAAGGCTGCAGACAGCCAGGGGAATACTTCAGCCAGCAGACAGCATTGGATAGCTGTCAAAAAGCTGATGCCCCTCTGCCCTCATCCATATGGAAGAAGGATTATTATCTGCCTCTGTGTGCAGTAAGATCCCTTTAAAAGGTTATGCAGTAGATACTTATTTTTTCAATAACTGCCTTTCGAGGGAAAAGAAATGAATGCAGCGTGGAGAAATTCAAGCCCCAGTTTGTTCAGGTCGTGCCTTCTGCTGTTCCCATTGACATGGCTGTTCCACAGCAGCTTCCTGCATGATGGAAGATACAGCTGGGAGCTCTGATAACCCCCAGGCTCTCACAGAGCAGGTGGGAGCTTGGCAAGGGCCACTGACAGGTTGCTTTGTGTGAAGTACTCCTCATTCAGAGTGGTTCTGCTTTTTCTGTTTAGCTCAGTAGTTGGGTGAGGGAGAAAGGAGTGTGGTAGGGCCCAAGTTGTGCTCTGCATGCATCTGCTTCAGAGAAGTGCACATGTCACAGGTCCAGCCTGCTCATGGCTGAAGTTAAACATGGCTCAAATCGAAGCACTTCTGTGCACATCGTGAAACTGTAGAAGACACTTTGCCTACAGGCTTCTGAGGTTTGTCAGCTGCAACATTTTGGAAGAAACCTGCCAGATGAAGAAGCTGCTGCCTGCAGTTTCTGTCTGATATGGGTGAGATGATGCCACGGTCTCTGGTAGACTGAGGCATGCAGTGAGGGGAGGTTATGAGGGGAAGGATTAGTGTCTGCCACTTTGCTGCTTGTGCCCAGCTATGGCAGGATCCAGGAAGCCCTCAGAAAAACTGGCTGTTACTGAAAACCACAAGCAAGGCTTTCTGGTGAGATGGCTGCACCCCAGAGTTCAGGGGCTGCTTTAGTTTCAGTTTAATGGTCTGTCTAGCCCTGCTTGTCTGTGACCGGTGACAGCCAGTGTCATAACCCCACTCAGGAGAGGCCAAGTGAAGGGGCTGTCACTGTGGCCTCTTCAGCTATCAGAATTCCAGCTGTGCTGGGAGTCAGTTGGTGCCTGTAGTGAACATGATAGAAAGAGCAGTGCTGGGAACTGGACTGCCAATTTATTCCCTGGATATTTTTCAATACATGTAAGATAAAAATATTATTTGCCTCCAAGTTCTCTGGGATAGATATTTGATGCTGGAAGCCTGAGATTTGAAATATATATGTGTGTGTGTGTGTGCACATGTGTGATATATGTATGTGTCCTTTTGTGTGTGTATGTATATATAAAAAATGGCATTGCTGCAGCTTTTATATAGACATTTCAATTTCTAAATTACTTGCTCCTTCCACTCTGAGTAGGTGCTTTTAATCTTAGTGTCAGAAAAATCATTGCTGCCTTTCTGCAGTCTCTGTGTTTGTTTCCATAGCTATCCTATATAAATTGCTTCTTTTTTTTTGTGCATAAGCAAATCAAAGGTTAACACTAAATAGTTGACCTGAGCTGTGAGAAAAGAAAGTCGTAGCAGTGGCAGGGTGGTTTCTGAGGTTGTAGGAATAGGAACCAAATCAATAGCTTTTAGCAGGCTCATAAATGTTTCATTTGTATTCCTCACTTCGGCATTGACATGGGATTCCAAATAACCCCTTAAATTAGTGTTGTTCCTACGCTGGGTGTAGATGTTGGAAACATTTCCTTCAGATGCACTTCATAGTGCTGTTCCGTAATGGCATTTTCCTTCCCGTTTTGGAGCCCTGGTTCTGCACAGCCTCCAGTCACGAGTGAAATGAGCTTGTCAGCCTCTATCCCAGGCTGCCAGAGTTTAGGCCATGGATATGGACATATCCCACCTGACTACCCACATCAGTGTTCCTGCCCTCACTCGGAGGCTGAGCAGGACTTGTGGCTGCTTGGGCAAGCTGTTGTTTCTGCATGGAGAAGCACAGGGACTTCTCCCTGGACTGTGACACAGCCCTGAGGAATGAGTGAGGCCTTGAGAAGACCAACCACAATAACTCTTGACAGCGGGTGGGGAAGGAGCAGCATGCCCACAGCTGTTTGTCTAATTCAGACTCTCTTGGAGGTGCTGGAGAAGCAGGGGCAGGAAGCTCATGAGCAGAGCCTGAGTCAGGCAACTTATCTGGCCATCTGCCTCCTCCTGAGGTCATCCACCCATGGAGTGTGGGAGGGTTGAGCAGCTCCAGGTCACTGCCAGGTCAAGGCTGTGACCTGCCAGCAGCCTGGGAGTGTGGTGGCCATTCTCTCAGCATTTTGTGGTTTCCTCCAAGACCCCAGTGCTAGCCGGGGAGGACTGGGCTCGTCTGCGGATCTTGTGTTTGCAGGCTGGAGAGACCCTTGAGAAATCTCAGCTTGTGAAGAGCAAGTTTAAAAAATAACCCATCCAACCAACATTAACAAAAAGAACCCATCTAAAAAGCCTCCCCCAACTGCCTTGTCTAAACAATTCAGTGACTGGAGTGAAGGTTGACCCCATTTTGATTTTTTTCAGGTTCATTTTTCAAACCTTGGGACGAGTTCTGTATTAACTTTCTCCTGTAAGAGAGGGCTGTGCATGTGTGTCTGTCTGTCTGCTTTAGTTACATGGGAAGCAAAATACAGCTGGCTAAAGTATTTTGGAGTAAATTACTTGGATTTTATCATCTAGGTAGTATTAATTTGATTAGTCCAAAGGGGTTTTCTTCCACAGGCAAGGATTGGTATCAGGTAGCACTTAAGTGAAATAGTAGCTAATAAAAGCCTTGTGTTTGATTCTGCCTGTCTGGTAAAAAAACATTATTTATGTCTTTCTTTTGTCTTATTCTGAATAGAATCTGTCCTGAAAAATGTTTAAGTCACATGAGGTGTCTGGTGAGTTTTGTAATCAAAAAGTGCAACAAATGGGTTTGGTAAAATCAGTTCAAACTTTTGGCTTCTGCTGGTAATTAAATATTTTGTAAATAAAACCTGTAGCAGTTGCTTTTCCTAAACCTGCAGTAATCTACATGAAAATCAGAATCCAAACATAATTTCTGCTGAGCCAAGAACAGACCAATGCCCTTTATCCTGGATAGTCTGCTCTCTCTATACTGTTTTCTAAGGAAAAATAACTCTTCTGCGGTTTGCCAATACCCTCTGGGGCTGTTGAAACAATCTACACCAACTTTGGGGTTTGATTGCCTCACTTTGTTGCTCCTTTGTTGAAACCAAAGCAGAATTTCCCCCTTCACCCCACTCTGCTTTCTCACACTGCTCAGTCTGAGTTAAATTGTTTGGAGGATGCAAGGGTGCAGGAGCAGCCACGGAGCAGGAGCCACAGGGATGTCACCTGGAGCTTTGAGATCCACTGGCAGTGTACCAGGGTTGGATAACTAATGCATGTGTTCTCCATGCTTTATATCAGTCAGGACAAGGGAATAAGTTTCTCCATTTGTCTCCCTGCAGGCAAGAGCTGTGCCACCATGTCCGTCAGCGTCCACGAGAACCGTAAATCACGCACCAGCACCGGCTCCATGAACATCTTGCTTTTTCACAAGGCCTCCCACCCGGACTGCGTCCTGTCCCACCTGAACACCCTGCGCAAGCACTGCATGTTCACCGATGTCACCCTCTGGGCAGGGAACAGGTCGTTCCCGTGCCACCGGGCAGTGCTGGCTGCCTCCAGCAGGTACTTCGAGGCCATGTTCAGCAACGGCCTCCGGGAGAGCCTGGATGACGAGGTGAACTTCCATGACAGCCTCCACCCGGAGGTGCTGGAGCTGCTGCTGGACTTTGCTTACTCCTCTCGGATCATTATCAACGAGGAGAATGCTGAGTCCCTCCTGGAGGCTGGGGACATGCTGCAGTTCCACGATGTCCGAGATGCAGCTGCTGAGTTCCTGGAGAAGAACCTCTACCCTTCCAACTGCCTGGGCATGATGCTGCTCTCGGATGCTCATCAGTGCCGGCGGCTCTATGAGCTCTCCTGGAGGATGTGCCTGGTCAACTTTGAGACTGTTCACAAGAGTGAGGACTTCAACAATCTTTCCAAGGACACTTTGCTGGACCTCATCTCCAGTGATGAGCTGGAAATTGAGGATGAAGAAAAGGTCTTTAAGGCTGTCATGCAGTGGGTGAAATACGATCTGGATGAGCGGAAGGCTTATCTCCCAGAACTTCTGAGGAATGTTCGTCTGGCTTTGCTTCCTTCTGAATGCCTCAAGGAAGCCTTGGCTTGCGAAGACTTGATCATGGTGGATGAAAGGAACAAGCTTGTCCTGGATGAAGCTATTCAGTGCAAGAAGAAGATCCTTCAGAATGATGGGGTGGTCACCAGCCTCTGTGCCAGGCCTCGCAAAGCTGGGCACACCTTGCTGATCCTGGGAGGACAAACCTTCATGTGTGATAAGATCTACCAAGTGGATCACAAAGCAAAGGAAATAATTCCCAAAGCAGACCTGCCAAGTCCACGGAAGGAGTTTAGTGCCTGTGCCATTGGCTGCAAAGTGTACATCACTGGAGGCAGGGGCTCAGAGAACGGAGTCTCCAAAGATGTTTGGGTTTATGACACCGTGCATGAGGAATGGTCCAAAGCTGCCCCAATGTTAATCGCTCGGTTTGGGCATGGCTCAGCTGAATTGGAAAACTGCCTGTATGTGGTTGGTGGACACACTGCAGTAGCTGGAGTCTTCCCTGCGTCTCCTTCAGTTTCCTTGAAGCAAGTAGAGAAGTACGACCCCATATCCAACAAGTGGATGATGGTGGCTCCGTTGAGAGACGGAGTGAGCAACGCCGCGGTGGTGAGCGCCAGGCTGAAGCTCTTTGTCTTCGGTGGGACCAGCATCCACCGAGACATGGTATCCAAAGTCCAGTGCTACGATCCAGCTGAGAACCGATGGATGATCAAAGCCGAGTGCCCGCAGCCCTGGCGCTACACGGCGGCCGCTGTCCTGGGCAGCCAGATTTTCATCATGGGAGGAGACACAGAGTTCACGGCAGCCTCCGCCTACCGCTTCGACTGCGAGACGGACCAGTGGACACGCATCGGGGACATGACGGCCAAGCGCATGTCCTGCCACGCCCTGGCCTCGGGCAATAAACTCTATGTGGTAGGAGGGTACTTTGGCACTCAGAGGTGCAAAACGCTGGACTGCTATGACCCTATGTCAGACACGTGGAACTGTATCACCACGGTGCCTTACTCGCTCATCCCCACAGCTTTTGTCAGCACCTGGAAGCACTTGCCCTCGTGATGAGGGGCAGGGCCTGGGGGCTTGTTTCCAGGAGGTCAGTGAAGGTAAGGATCTCCTCCTCTTAAATTAAAAATTACCATCTTGCCTCAATTGTATCTCCACACACCATGCTGAAGCCACAGGTGCTCGTGAAGTAATTTTATAAGAAGGGAATGTTTAAAAGCGGGTTGTAGAGCCAGGAAAGAATAACCAGCTCAGCAGTGCTCTAGTCTTAAGTCTAGATAGTTACAAGCGTTCTCTTATTTCCAGATGATCCTCCCAGTATCTTAAGAGATACATCTGCGTAGATGGTTGGGGCTCCTCTCCCTCGGCTCCAAGGCAGCTGGATGTACCAGCCTCACCCTTCTGGTGGGGGGTGGATGGGCAGATGAGTCCACACCTGCTCTCACCATGGAATACATCCTGTTCCCATGCATTTAAGGGAGTTAAGGTTCCTAAAAACACTTGTGACTCCTGAGAGATACCAGGGCAACAAGTGCTTTGGAATGTCTTAGTAGTTTGATATTTTTGCTGATTTTCTGGGTGATGTATTTAGAACTGATGAATATGTAGGCAAGTGACCCTTGGAATGCCAGCAAATCCTGGTTCTCTTTTTATGCTCTCTATTTACATTTCAGTGGGTAGCAGAAGCAAAAGCGCAGAAGCCATGGTGCATTTGATGGTCTTGGTGTTTATTTATCATCCAAACAGTTGCTTGTTAAATCAGTACTTCTGAGACTTCTGTGTCAGACTTGAGTGGGAGGGAAGGGGTTTTGTAACCAGAAGAAGAATGTGTTTATCAGTGTTTTGGGTTGTGTGAGAATAAGAAAGTTGGTGGAAACCCATGATGTTGTGTCTCATTCTGGCGCTCCGGTTTTCTCTTGCTCAGGGAAGGTTCTCCTGCAGTGCCCCTGGGACAGGGTTTCTGGTTCCTCCTCTCTCCTCCCCAGTGGGGTGTTTTGTTGCCATTCTGGTTGTCAGTGTGGCTCCACAGGGCTCTGCATGTCCTCACCAACCTGTGCTGAGATGCAGCTGGCCTGGCAAAGCCCAAAAACTCTTCTGAACTTGCATTGTGAAAGCAGATAGTGATACAGGCAGCACTTAGATAGCATCACCTTCCCAGGAAGTCAGTAACACGTCTGCTAGCTCAGTGTGCAGGTTTCTCAGGGCCAGCAGCACACACAGCCCTGCTTTGGTGGTTGCAGCCTACATCCCAGCCAGCTGAAGGAGCTGGGAAACCCTCACTATGGGTGTGGGATTGACAAGCTTCACTTACAGTTTTATTTGGAAAGTGGGGACTGCGGGGAGGGAAATTCTTCCTCAGACTCATCAAAATCCACTTCACTTAATACAGGCAAGAAGGAATGCTGCCCAAACCCTCTAACACCCTCTCACTTCCCTGCTTTCCACTTGGTGTGGTTGGTGCACCTGGGAATCGCCCAGCGGGTGAAATTGCTGGCACCTCCCAGTGATCATCTTTTTTGATGCCAGATGGAAACCAAGGAGGAGTTCCTGGCACCTCAGCCAGGGATTAGCCCAACTCGACCACCTGCTTTTCTCAGGCGGGAAAAAAATCACCCAGGGCATTACTCTGGCCTTTGTGAAACAGCTGGTTTTTAACATGGGTTGGACCACCATGAGGACAGGGCAAGAGTGGAAAGGGTTAAAATGAGACCTTAAAGTGTTCTCAACACTGTAAGATAATGGCCTTTCCAAATTCTCCTCCTCAGGCGTTGCCTAGCATCTGTCACAGTGGCTCAGTAATCTAATTAACTGTCACTCGGCTATTAAATATTGCAGTGAAGACTGTGAGGACTCCATCATTTTCAGCTCAGGTCAATGGGGCCTCCCTTTAAGAGCCATCCTAGAGCTGACAGTTAATTTTCTCTGGTAGCAGATGCGTCTGAATATTAAAGCTCAACACCAGCCACATGGCTGGGAGTAGGAGTAGGGGGTAGTTTGAGATGGGAGTCGATTCCTCAGCCACTGAATAAGAAACAGTCATCAAAGTCACAGTGATGTTATTTTCCTTTTTCCTCCCTACTGTTTTTGGGTTGTTCAGACCTAGTAAATAGCTTTGTGGGGGTTGTATTGATACTTCTTTCCCCCCTGTAATTGGGAGCCTGACACAGGCACAGAAAACTAGAAACTGCAAATAAAACTGGTGAAAAGTCACTGTGTGAGGGTTTTATGTGCTTTTTTGGCTCTGCCTCCAGTCTTCGGTTAAAAGAACTATTTAAAATACATGCAAGCTCTTGCCAGAAAGAATGTCTGTCCACGTGGTTTTTCTAGAGTGGGTTTTTTTTTTTTTTTTCAGTAAGTTTTGTTTCATTTAGTGAGTGAATATCCCTGATGTGGACATGCTGCCCACACTGCAGCCAGCCACATCCCATGTGCCTGCCTTGCCTGTCCTGGCTGTGAAAAACTGGGCTTGGGAGCTGGGGTAACTGGCTGTAGGATCCTATGATCCAGTTCACCCCATTGTCCTATTGCAGGTCTGGCCAAGGGGTTTTTTGGTTTGCAGACCCCACCATGGAGAGGTCTCTGCTCAAACAGCTGATTTGGTCCTTATGGGATCCTTCTTCAAGTAGGGATGCTCAGAAGGCAGGCTGGCCAGCACCTGCCCAGTTTCCTATGGAACTGCCTGTCCTCACCTGGAAAAACTCAGGAGCAGAGCAAGGTGGGCTGGTGGAAAAAGACCTGGGCAACCACATGGCAGGAGACAGTACTTTGTCCTCATGGAAAAAACAACCTCCTGCCCATAAACTGGTCCCTGAAAACCAAATAGTCTGTCCTGACAAATGTTGGTCATAAACCACCCAGCCTGCTTTTCCCGTGAAGCATAAAACTGATCAGCTGGAAATGCTTCCTCGAGGGCACGGCCTTCGTCCTTCCCAGACAGAGCAGGGACACGTTTCAGCAGAGGTCCCAGCCCTGCTGCCAAGGAGGCCGTGTGACATTAATTTAGTGCTTATTGCCCACAGTTAATTCCAGGGATCAAGTGTGATTAGCAGTATGAAATGTGAAAGCCTCATCCCCTCCCACCCGAGGTGGTGGAGCCATAGGGGAGGCAAAACATGACAAATGAGCACTGGGCTGATAAAGACTCTGTGTTGATAAGGACCAGCACAGCCCAGCCCAGGGGAGGGTGGTGGGTGGTTTGTCACAGAGCTGTGCAGAGACAGTTGATGGGGACAACTCAACCCCTCCCCAGAGGTGACTTCAGACAGCACCAAGAACAGGTTCTCCAACCTGCCTGTCTCCACATTAAAGTGGCTTCTCCACACTATCTGTCCTATGTGACACTCTCATTTTCACGGGGCAGAGTCACAGATGGGTGTGATTTCAGATTTTATGGTCCAGCCAGGGAAGGTGAATTGGAAAGGGGAGTCACTGCATCCCTCTGTGCTGCCTCCTGAGCCTCAAATGCTCTCCTGAGGTGGAGATGTCGGAGTTCCCATCTGCAAACAAACACGACAACCCAAGCATCAAGGAGCCAGGGCTTCCCCTGCCCAGAAGTTTCTAATCAGATGATTTTTAGTTCTTACAGAACCCTCCTCACAGTGTTCACTGTAGGGAGCAGAGGCTGGTGGCTGGGCACTGCTCAGGGACTGATTCCTGGGGCACATCAGAAGCTCAGAGCTGATTTTTTGGTTTCCACTGGAGCTCCTTGGTGTGTGCTTAGTTCCTGTGAGGGCTGAGGGTGGCACCAGCAGCTGGTGCCTGCCTTTGCTGGGCACTGAGTGACTGAGGCTGAAGGGTTTTGAGGCTGTTCTGGCACCTGAAATCTGAACTTTGGCCCCAGAGCTCCTGCAAAGATTTAGGCCGCATGCCAGGCCCTGAGCTGTATTCCAACACTGCACTCACACTAGGAATTGGGTCAGTTCCATGGCTTTTCCTGGTTATTATATTTCCTGGTTATTATATTACAGCTTAGATAACAAGCCTTTTGCAAAGACACTTTTACAGCTGCCTGGTGTGGCTCCCACGTGCTTTCACCTTGCAGCATGCATCATTCCCAGCTCCATCCACGAAGCCCTGCTCGCCTTCCCATGCCAAGACCTGTGTACCTGCAAAGAATAGCCAAAAAAAACCAAAAACAACTCAGGATATCTCCTGTCTCCTAGAGGCTGCTGCTCACCTGTGTGCTGCTGGGGTGGGTGGTTGCTTGCAACCTGCTGGAATTCCTGGAACCGAGTCACAGCTGGTTTCTCCCGGTGGCTCCTAGGGAAATCCATTTGCATGTGTATAATAGGGAGGCCGGATAAACAGGGATTGCAGTTTTTCTGCTGCTGCTGCTCTTTCCATGTGGCTGGTTGTCTCTGAAGCCAGTTTATCAGGCAGTGTTGGAAGGGAGTGGCTGGCCTGGGGAGGAAAGTCGATGAAAATCAGGCTTTTCCTAACCCTGGGCAGATGGAAACATGTGCAGTCTGAGCTTGGCCCCAGACTGTATTAATCAACCCCTTGGAAATGTCAGTGATACGGATGTTTTTGGAGGAACCTGTGGAAAAAGAGAAAAAGGGTCTTTTTGTTTTGTCTGTTCCAGGTTTTGGGCCCTCCTCTCTGCCCTAAAAAAAAAAAGAGAGCGAAAACTTATCCCTCAATTTTTCATTCCCTTATCATGTCCACTGAAGTTTGCTACCTGGCTCTGAGCCCTCCCCAGCTGAAGACCCCCTCTCCTGTCCTGCACAAGCAAAGGACACCCCAATTCCTAAAGAAACCAGCTGCTTTCCACCTCCACCCACCTCAGGGAGTCGGGGTGGGGGTTACCCAGTGAGTGCCCTGTGTGGGCTGAGCTGAGCATCACACCAGTTAATGAGCTTTCTGTTTCCTTCCCCAGATGCCAGAGTCACATCCATGTCCCCTCTCTTGCGGCTGGAGCCATCACAGTGACCGAGAGCCTCCTGTCCTCCCGCACAGGACTCCGAGGCAACTTCCACATCCCTTCCTGACACCAGGAGTGGGAGGCACAGCTGAAGCCCCACCGCCAGCATCACACCAGGGGGTCACCAAGGGCTACCCAGCCCCACCACTGGTCACTGTGCAGGGATGGAGCCGAGAGCACTGCCTTGCTGGGCTGGGCACAGGGATGGCTTTGTGGGCTCCTCTGGACCAATAGGGCTGTGGAGGTGGAGGCTGCATCCCTCAGCAAACATGGCTGGGTAGCCCTTTTTGTTACTCAGCTGGGGGGGTTAAGAGATATTAATATGTTTTTCTCTAAGGCAGTGAACTTGCCGTTGGCAGTACTTGCTGCTTGGGTGACTTGGAAGTGTTTGTTAAAGGGAATAAGGTGAGAGCATCTGGCTCTCCCCATCCTCTGGTTATTTCATAGAGACAAAGGCTATTGAAATATTAAAACATAGGAGCTTGGGATGGCTGCCAGCAGCACCACGTACTGTGACAAAACAGGGCAGATGCCTTTTGGTTTGTACTTTGGGCCTTTTAAATTTTTTTCCCCTCTTTCTTCTCTGCTCTGATTTGGTCAGAGGCCGGGTAGCTCCCCACACACAGCTGCTGGGAAGAGCACAGGGCTCTGTTAGTGTGCCAAGGCAGCAGCACCACTGCCGAGATATTCCCCAGATAAAGCCCACTGCATGCTCAGAGCCGGTCTGCTGAGCTTCCCTGCGCGTGGGTGAGGCTCTCATTAGCAAAGGAGCAGAAAAAAGGGTGCAGTGGGGAACGCTCATGCCTTGGGAAGGGGCAACTTGGCTCCAGCAAGGCCTCGGAGGGAGAGCAAGAGGATTAGGGTAGCATTGCAGGGTGGGCTGGGGAGAGATCCCCCTCCTTCCTGCTGCACCCCACACCCTGGCTTCCCCCTGGAGAGATGTGAGCATTTCTGACGGCGTGGTGCCTGCCAGCGGCTGGGCTGAGGCTGCCCCAGGTTATCCACGCACGCTGGCTGCCAACTGTGTTTGGGATTATGCATCCAAGAGCTGTCAGCCCGAGCCATTCCTCATTTTGCTGTGGAGGAAGGCACGTGGATTTCAGCTGTCAGTACAGGGATGCAGCTCCTGACTGGCCACTGCCGAGGACTGGTCCTGCACTGCCCCAGCATCCTGCTTCCCTGCACAGCAGATCTCCAGCTTCTCCAGGCTTGCCTCTCTCCCCTGGATGAGGCTGGGCTGTAGCCTGGCCAGCTGAATGATGCAATGCCATGAAAAGCCTTGACACAGCTTCAAACAGCAGAGGTCTTTTTGGAGCAGTGGGTGCCGTCACTGCCGGGAAGAACACACGTTCCGCACAGCCAGTCTGCCATGAGCTGCATGACGTTTATTTACATCTTCTAGGCTTTTTTCTTTTTTTTTTTTTTTCCCCTTCAGCTGCTTGTGAACTTTAATAAAAATGATGATCTGGGAAACTGTTTGTGTGTTTTTCACAGGAGTCTTCATTCAAAAGTTGGATTTAGGTCTAATAACAGGGCCGAGGACTAATAACAGGGTTGGCGCTCCGTGGGGTGGTTCACAAACAGTCTCCAAAGCAACCAACCCAGCTGTAATTATTATTGCTTCAGTGCTTGGGAAACTGAGGCACAATGTCAAGTGTCTTGTCCAAGGTTAATGGTAGATCTGGGAATTAAATCCAGGGCTCCTCATGTCCTGGGGACATCATGTGGCTCTCTGTTCTACAGCTGCTCTCACTCAGCTCATCCATGCCATGGTTTCAGAACTTGCAAGTCTGCAGTTCTAATAGCACCTGCCAAATAGGTTGAGAGGCCCAGCGCAGACACAGCCATACTCCTGCAGGGAAAGCCAGTAATTTCTAAGGAAGACAAGAAGAATTCATGCTTCTGTTTTCCTTATTTGCCTTCTCTTGGCTGCTGCAGCTCCCAAGAAAGGGGCCTTTAGACAGGAGAGATGCACTTTCCAGCTGGAGCTCCTTTCCACGCTCCTCTTCGTGTGCATCTCTCCCCATCCCAGAGGAGCACACAGAGGCACAGGGAGATGAGTGCTCTGGGAACACTCTGGGAGGGTTTTCCCTCCCTACAAGACCAGCAGCTCCAGCTGTGCTCAGGGCTGGGATTGTGGGAGCATTGCTCAGAGCAGCGAATCGGCACCAGGCAAATGCCTCCTCCTTTTGTAGCAGGGGCTGTTTGGCTTGGGAAGCAAAACTTCCTATGGGTGTTAGGGTCTCAAAGGGATTTGGAGCCTGATTTTCTGAGCTGCAAAGGAAACGGAACCTGTCCCCTTGCCTGCAGGAGCTGGGTGGGCAGCAGCATTAGCTGACGTGAGCTGGGTAGATATGAGTGTAAGGCTCCACAGAAAAAGCTCATTAAAGACCCCTTTGGGAAACCAATTCAGGGTAGAAATTACTGTTTGATGAGCAGGAGAGGGGGAAAAAAGGAGGGGGGGAGGTGAATGAAATCCCCTATAGTTTTGTTGATTCAGGTTTTATATGCGACTCTGGGACTTTAAATAGCAGCTGGGGAGGCTTTGCAATAGGCTTGCTTTGATATGAGCCATGCAGGGACCTGCTCTTTTGTATTTATTCTGGAGCTTGCCTGAGAGACAATTCAAAAGCAATCAGCAGCTGCTGTGACAGCAGCGACCTGTTGCTATGGAATTAGAAATAATGAGAAATACAAAGGTTTCTTGGTTAGCAGCAACAGAATAAGAGGGGGAGCAGGAGATAGGAGTGGATGTAACAGAAAAAAGCTACAGCCAGAGCTGGGCTGGCATTTAAATGGGAGGTACAGGGGTAGAAATGTAAATGTGATTTGTTTTCCTTTTTGAAAGAGCTTTTTTGCCATCTCAGCAGGTCAGGCTCATCTTTGTCTGGGACTGAGCACTTAGGAAAGAGTCCTGTCTGGTGGTGGTGCTGGAGTTGTGTGTTCCCAGGCTCCTGGGAAACCAGCCCACACTCTACAGCCAGCCCTTGCTGTGGCGTGTCAGGAGCTCAGACATCTTCCCCGTGGAGTGCCAGGAGCCCAGCAGGGAGATCCCTGGAGGAGCAGGGGGGCTCATCCCACACCTCCCTTGTTTTGCAGGGCCCAATCCTACGGGAGAACTGAGGCAGGATACAGCTCCTTTCCATCCATCCTCTGGCCCTGGCTGGAGCCTGCCCATGAGCTCCCTCCACCTGAGTTCCCCAGCTCAGTAACAGGGTGCTTCTCACTCCAAAAAAACACTTGGGAGGAGAGGGCAGGGAGATGCTTTGAGGTGGAGCCAGGCATGATCACACCTCCTTCCCCAGGGCCTGAGCATGCTGAGCGTCCCTGGATGCAAAAGGCTGATACTCCTGTGTCTTCTTTAAATTAAACTCATAGTGCCTTATTGGGTCTTAAATATGCATTTTCCTAGCCTGACCCCAGCTGCCCTTGAAATAACACTGCTTTTCAATGAAGCCCTGCAGGGAATTATCATCTGAGCCCACTCCCTTTGTCATGAGAGTCAATTAAAAGCAGAGTAGCTGGTGATTTAATAGCTCTGGTGTCTGAGGGAGCCCCACATCCTTCCAGAGGCTGAGTCTGGTACTTAAACACATAATTGGAGAAGAGGAGCACTTTTTTCCAGGTATCCAACATGTTTTCAAATTCATCCATGTCCACACAGACCACTAACTCCTCGTGTCCGTGGTTTGTCATCTTCTCCTGCACATTAATCAATGCCCCAGCACTGCACATTCTCCTTGCAGTATATCCCACACGGAATTGTTTTCCAGTTTCCCCACACACCCTTTCCCTTGGGATAAACCAAACAGGTTTTAATCTCTGAAGACCGTCCAGGCTCACGAAATGCCATGCATGGAAACGCTGCTCCGTAAGCAGCGTTTGAGTTAAGCTTGCAAGAGCAGGAGAAACCCTTGCCCGCAGCTCCCCACAACAACTGGGAGTTTAAACGGGGCCCAGTCCCTCTTGCTCCAGTGCAGAGCAGGATCCCGGTGCCCTCCCGGCACAGGCAGCGGTGCTGGGGGCCCCAAGGTGGGAGCCAGCAGCAGGCACTCCCACTGGGAATGAATAGCCAAGGCTGAGCTCATTTATTCTTCCCTCCTCACAGTCTCTCTTTTCTTTCCATTTCACCACCTCCTTATTTAACATCCTGGGCTGTTGTGCAGAGCCATCACCCTGTTTTGCAGCACTGTGACCTACTTTGCCGCAACGTCCCGACTTCCTCGCTGAAATTGCGAGCTCGGAGCCCACCCAATCCATTCAGTGTTTCTCAGCTGAATAACAGATCCAATTAGGTGGAAAAAGCCTGGCTTTCATGCTGTCAGTGCCTGGACATCTCACTTCCCGCTCCCCAGCACACGCTGCACCACTGAGGGCTGCGGCTCACAGACAGGGCCCCTCTGTGTTTGTGTGTCCCGCGCCAAATGAATTTGGGGGAAGGGTTCAAGACTGATCCTGGCTACTCAACTTGTCCTTTCATTCTTCCTGACAGTCTCTGAGGACTACAGAGCTCAGGAATCAAGTAATTTGTGGGTTTTCAGTTCTGTCTCTTCTGGGAAGCTTTCCTTTCCCAGCAGAGGCTGGGGACCGCAGTCCATGACCAGGCCGGGATGGCACCATGTGCTTGTGAAGAAGCACGTAGAGCCAGAATGTGATTTAATGACTGATAGAAAGACCTGTCTCTCACTCCTGGCGTCATACCTATCCCCAGTCCTGTGAGTTTATCCCAAGCAAACATTTTAATTCTGCCCTTTACTGCTGCCATCACTCTTGTCCACTCCTTCTCCCTACAGCCCCAGCAGGCAGCCAGTCCCCAGGATGCTGGCTCCACTCCATCGTGGGGCATAGCTGGTTGTTAAAAGGGATGAGCAGAAACCAAATAAGGAGAAAAAAGCCTAAGGGCCACCAGGAAAAGCCCTTTTGGTTTCTACCTTCCCAGTTGGGTAGGATGGACGGCCATCCCCTTGCCCTGAGGCCAGCCCAGCAGCACTGGGGCCGGCTCAGCTCCCTGGCAGGTGCAGGGAGGAGGGTAAACACTCCATTTCTGGGTCATGTCTGGAGGAATTACACACGCACACACAGACAGGAGCTGCTTCCCCACGGCTGCTTCCCAGCACCCAGCGGAGCTCCCGCTGCCTCCGGCCCCTCTGCCCACGCTGCCGCCCCGCCGGGATCACGGCTGCTCCCGGCCTTCCCACAGGGTTTTGCTAATGACTCACCGCTCCTGCTCGGCTCCAATTAGGCTCCTGTCTAATTAGGCTCACTGGAAAGATGCGACTGGTGAGAAGCAGCCCTTTGGTGAGAGGAGAGGGGAAAGAAAGAGCATCTGGAGATGCCGGAGGGAGAGACGCCAGGCTGTGGTGAGAGGTCAGGGGGATTGGGAATTGTCAGCTGAGCTGCATCGGAAAGGGATGGACCATAAAGGGACTGGAAACAAGTGCCCTCTGTACTGGCACACAGAGGAGCTCCAGAGTGCAGGAGAATGGGGCTGGGGAGCCCATCCTGAACCTGCACCCTTGGGCATCCTTGGAACAGAGGCAGGAGAGCAAAGCCTGGTTTGGGGGTGATTTAAGAGGTGTGAAGGCAGCTTTAGGGGAGACACAAAAGATATCCACTGTCTGCCCAACCCTGAGAGAGCTGGGGGTGCTCATATCAGTTGCTAGTGTCAAATATCATTTGCTGCTTAATTTTTACATGGTTCAACCTCCTAAAAATCAAGACATTTACCGTATTTAACATTCCTGTAGCAAATTAACAAGCCCCAGGTGCCTTCAATGGCAAAGGTAAGTCATTACTTTACCATTCACCTTGTATCTGATCACAAGGCATCTCACTCACTCACTGCACTAATTAGGGTTTTGCCTTTCCTTCTCTTAATAAACCCTCCATGAATGAGTGGCCTGTCTGCAAGCCCCAGCCCAGCTTGCACCTGTGTCCTCCCAGACCTCCAGTTTCTGTCCCTGAAGGCAGTGCCAGGACTGAACCCAGCAAAGGCAGGGAACGGGAAATGTAGATAATGCAAATATTTAAGGTATCACTAAACCATATTGCCAAAGAGCCTCTCCTGTGCCTGTCAATGCTCCTTTTAGAGGCTCATCCCATTCTAAGGATTCTGTATGACCCCTTTTAGGGGGTGTGCCAGTGAAAATCCAACCACATCCAACAAAGCCACAAAGATATTTTGCTCTAACTTTGGATGCCAAGGAAAGGCTGAGCAAGAAAGCTGGGATGCTCAGAAACCCACCACTCTTTTTTGGGACCATCTAAATTGATTGATCCCTGTGGTCTGGAGAGAATATCCATTTCATTGTCTTAGCTGTAATGGCTCAGAGCATGGAAATTTTGAGCATATGAAATTATGGAAAGCTGGTTAAGGACAGTCAAATTAATATATGAAGGTGTCCTGGAGCAGCAGGGCCCTTTGCTTCCTCCTCTGCCTAAGGCAATTTGTATTGCCTGCCCAG